TTTTTGTATAATTTTTTTGTGAAAATCCGTCCTGCTCAAAATGCCAAATATCTTAGGAAATTAATGGTAGCTACTAGCTAAATAATTATTCTTAAAATGATTTTTTAAAGTTGAGTAGGTCCAAAAAACATTTTAAACCAGCTGTTTCAGAGGGATTTTGCTTATAACTGCCTATGTGGTCATCAGCGGATGAAGCTGGGAATAAGAAAATCGCAGTCAGGTCCTAGGGAACCAACAGTTGTATTCAGTACATACAAACCAACTCTTTCAATGCAAATATAGATTCATTTACAAAATCTTCAGGTATTACAAATTCAGTTGTATCTTCCTATTGCCAGTCAAGCTTAGCACTTCAACACTAATTTACTCATAATCAGACTGAGTCAAAGCCAGCTGTGCCTCAGAATAAAAAATACCTTAGATTTCTTTAGAAGACTTCTGCTAAAAATATATTTCCATGAGATCAGGACAGGAGCTTATGCAAATACAATCATGCAAACCTTCTGTTGTCATGTCATCGCTGGGGCATAGAAAGCCAGCGTCATCCCAGGATTTACATGTCTATGTAATATTGTGCAACAATTTAGAAGAAATGGAAAATACAAATAGTATTACTATAATTCAAAGATGACTTGACTTTTTAAAGATACTACCATAGTCAAAAAAAAGAGAAGAAATTTTGATCAGTTATTTAAATTCATTACCAGCTTAGTTTCATTAAGACAACATAGTGTGCATTTCAAGAAAAATGCTCTTATTTGAAATGTGATTCAATGGGTGTTGTCATCTCCTTTGAATAATTGCACTTTCAAATAATTATTGGAAAGGGATAAGACAGTAATTACAATAACTTCTTTGAAATATTCCTCTAAACTTGAAAAACTAATTATGCTTGGCTGATTTTTCAGTTTATTAAAAAGGAAAAAAACATGCTTTCCCAACTTTATTCCAGATTTGCTGAAGATTGCCTCAAACATGAATCTATTACATACACCTAGTTTTACTTCAGTTATATTCTTAGTATGGAAAGTTCCCATTGACTTCAGTGTGACAAAGGAAGTTGCTGGATTCTGACCATTACAGAGGATCTCAACAATCTTCATACAAAGTACATATTTAAATTCAAACATAATCTTCAAGTAAGAAAGTCAAACCAGCCAAGAAATATTTTCCCTTCTATCCAAACATTCAGGAAACAAGTTCCCAAACTCTTTTCCAAGAAGGATTAAACTAAAATTAAATATGGTTTCTGTTGAGACAGTACAAGCAGACACAACTAGTGCTTGTGTATAGGTATCCCATATTTTAGATGCGTTGTCTAACTGTTGACTAATGGACTTTTCCTTGTGTTCTTCCACTGCGAGTTTCATCCTTTGCCAAAAGTTACATTTCTAGTTAGCAGGATGGGAAGAGTATTACTGGCAACCAGCTATAGTAACATGCAACCCTTGAGCCTAAGCTTAAAGAATTTGCAATTGCTATTATTGTTTGTAATACAGTCATTTAGAAGACTAATTTTCTGAAAATTCTATTACTGGATTTAACTCTGTTCATGTTAGTACTTTTTTTTTCTGTTTTCTAAAATTTTTACTTGTCTTTACTTTGATCAGATAGACATTTGAGGTCTCAAGGGCCTTTGTAAATCTAACAGGCAAATATAAATGGCAAAGATGCTTTTATAGCTTCTGTGCTTGAAAATACTGGCCTGGACATGATAATAAATTCCTTTTCTTTCTCCAGCTTTTTCAAGAAAAAAAAAATCAACAACACACAAAAACTAACTCAAACGAACCCTCAAAAAAGTTACCCAAAGCTTAAGATAGATACACCACTCCCAGGCACAGACCTGAGAAGTCTGAGAAAACAGATTGTCTGTATTTAAGAAGGCTGGGACTGGACAAAAAGTGAACAGCTTTCACCTACATACGCTTTTGGCTTGTTAGAACAAAAAGGCTTAGTCACTGGGAATGAAGTAGGCAGACAGTACCTACTATAGACAGGGCAATCTCTTCCAGAAGTTGATCCCACTCTTCTTTGCATTCTTACCCCTCACTGCTCTCCCTTACCCTTCCTCTGTGACAGCAGCAGTAAAAAGCCATTTCTGAACATCTGGTTTATTTCCCTTGTCCCATTTCTCCATATTCATAGGCAGGGTTCAGTCCTGGCTCCCTCTCTGACCTCCCCTGGTGTCAGAGAATATTGAAAAGGTGATGCAGGGAGAATCATGGGTGATAAGCAGGAGAAGAAGCTTTGTGAATCCTGCGACGCCTTAGAATGAATTCCCTGTCACACAAAATAATGGTGGGAAAGAGGAAGTCTTGTAAGAGAAAAACAGATGTCTCCAGACACCTCCCAGATTCCTCCAAAAAACTCTTCTGCCTCCAGCCTTCACTTTCCCTACAGAGGGTCTACATTGTTATACACCTTTATTGCTACTGTATTTAACTTCCAGGCTAGACTACTCAGATCAGTATAGCTAACTGGGCAACCTTAACAGTGTGGGGAGAATCAGATGTCTTAGGTACATCCTTCACTAGCACACATTGCTCATCCCACAATTAGGCCAGATGTGTACAGTCCCCAAGGCCATGAAATGCCCCTATTACATGGCTATATTTCGGGGGGATAAAGGAGGACATGGCCTGCTTCTGGCCCTTTTACCTCTTTTTCATTTATTGACAAAAAGACCTTTCAGCTCTGAAAAAGAGAAGAGGCTGAGCTGCAGAAGGTCTATCACATGATGCTCTGGTTGATCTAGGATGGGATAATACCCAGTAATTTTATTATCAAGTACATCTTGAGGTTTAACAGTAGGATAGTGACTCTAGGTACCTACTTGGTTATACACTACCTTCAGTTCAGAATCAGATACCTGTCTCAGGTTGGGAATCACAAACCCAGGGTGTTGGACTTAAGAGACATTTTATTATTCTTCCAGACAGAGATAATGAGCTGTTTTTGTTTTTTCACTCTTCCAATTGCTGACTTCAGTGACCAGTGGTGTTACCTAAGGTGAAAACTAACTTTTAGTCTAACCAAAAGTTTGCCCAATGGATTAGTTGATCGCTTTTGTACTCAAGTCAAGGGCAAGACTGTATTCACTACTTTGTTCTGCCACCAGCAAGCTCGTCTCTGGTTGCAACTCAGTAGGTATTGGGAGGTGGAGATGCATGTAACACCAGTACTTGATGATTAGGTTTGGGGTTTACTCTGGTTTTGAACCTAGAAGTACTCTGGCACAGGTCCCAGTAGTTGGGCAAAGTCTGGTTTGGCACTGAGGGGTGCAGCCAGACTGAATCACCCTCAGTTGTAACTTACTGATTTTGATACAGGTGGATGGGCCACCTTCACTTAACCCAGAAAAGGGACTTGTACTAGTCATCTATATGGTCCAATAAATATGGAAATAAAACTCCCCAAAAAGGAGACCTCAGGCCGAAAGCAAGGCATTCTGGCGCCGCGAAGATATGTAGCCTTTGGCCTTTCCGTGAAACGAAGGGAAGGGTAGTCACCTCAACCAAAATCTCGGTGAGGTGAAGAGGGAACTTCAGTCAGGTGAAGCTCCTTCTCGCCGGAGAGTTTGGGTAAGCTGCGAGAACGCCAGGCGAGAGGTGGCAGCAGCGAGTCGCCGTGCAGCCCGGCCGCGACGGTCGGTCGGTCGGTCCCGCTGCCGCCCCAACTCAGCCCGGTGGCAGGTCCCGCTGCCGCGCCCGCCGTTGTCCCTGCGGGGCCCGCCATGACTTATCCAGGGCGGCGGGCGGTGCTGGAGGGCCGCGGGGAGGCGGCGGGGGAGGATGGACGGGAGAGCCGTGTCCTGCGGGAGCGGCCGGCACGGCATCTCCTGTCGCCGGGGGCACATGCGGGTCCCCTCCCTGCGGGGCAGGTGCTGCAACAAATGACCAGCTCTGGGCGCTGCCCTGGCGCCTCGGTCGACTCTGTGGCTGTCCCTATTGCCGCGCTGATGCTCAGCCTGCTGTAAGCGGGAATTAGCAGTAGTTACCCCGGGCGACAACACCCAAAAATTGGAGGTTTTGCTCAGGTACCAAAACTCTGCGAGGCGAGTTGAAAGGAGCCCTGGAGTGGCAACTTTCAGGTGAGTGCTGCAACTGCATTCCACACAAGTTTCTCAGCGAAGAGTTAAGGGTGCACAGGAGTAAAACATGACTTCCATATTCCTTACCCTCTCTGCTCGCAAGAAGACTTCTGAAAACATGGAAGATTTCCCACCTAGGTTTCCCAAGGATGGGAAGAGAGAACCGAAGAAACGCGAGCCAGGAAACGAGCTCTTGCTTCCCTGTTGCTGTCACCCTTTTGGATGGCAGAGCTCAAGTTCCCAACCCATGACGGCAGGAGCCGCGGTGACTGCCGAAGGGCTGCTCCACACCTGCGCCCGCCGCCCCGCCTCCCCCTTCCCCAGTAAATCAGAGCCCCCGGCCGCGGGGTGCTGGGGGAATACGGGGACGCGCCCCTCTGCTGAGACACTGAGGGGGACCTGGCCCGGCCCTACCTCGGCCCCGCCCGGCACGGGCGGTGGCGCCTCATCGGGAGCGGGTCCGCCCGTCCCTCTCTCTCCCCCCCTCCCAGCGCCGGCTGCTCGGCCGCGGCGGGCGCGCTCCTGCTGGGGAGGGGACGGGCAGGGAGGGGCGGAGGCAGGCGGGAGGGAGGGAGGCAGGGCGGGCGGGAGCGCGGCGGCGGCAGATGCTGCGGCGGCGGCGGCTGTGTCTCCTTCGGCCACATCCCGCGGCCGGTGCGCCCGCCCGGCGCGCTGCGCTACGGCGCCGCCGCGCAGCCTGCCCCAGCCGCCGCCGCCGCAGCGGCCCCGCGCCTCGCCCCAGCGGCGGGGCGGTGGATGCCGAGCCCTCCTCGCCCCGGCAGCCCCCGGGCAGCTGTCCTGCGGCCGAGACCCGCGGAGCCGGACCGGCGCGCTCGCACGGACACGGGGACGCACGGGCGCACAGGGGCACACACGCACGCTCGGGGTGCGGAGGGGGCAAGCCGAAGATGCTGCAGCTGGGCAAGGTCAGGACCTTGCGGTGAAGCCCGGGGCCGTCGCTCGCCCCCCCCCTTTCCCCCCTTTCCTCCTTGCCTAACGGACTGAGGATTTGCTCTTGGGTTTTGGTATATGTTTGGAAGCAAGCAGGCTGAATCGGCGCCGATCGGTGAGTACGACAGGCATCGTAATGGTGCCAGGTACTCTCCCCCCTCTCCCCCCCCCCCCCTTCCTGCTTGCGTGATGTTTCTTTTTGGTGTGCGGTCCTGCGCTGCTCCCCTCGCCGAGGCAGCCGGGCTGGGTTGGGCTGCAAGGAGCAGTGTTTGTGCCTTCAGCCGAGAGGTAACAAAGTGCGTTATTTCCCCATGGTTCTTCCTCCCGCGCCTCCCCCCCTCCATCGCTTTCCTCCCTTTCTTTCTACGTTAGTCGTTGCTTATGTAGGGCATCCGCGGCACGGTGTCTCCCGACGCCCTGCACTAATGTGCTCGTTACGGCAGTGAAGTCATGGGCCGGGGAGGAGGAGGAGGAGGAAGAAGAAGAAGAAGGAGCCCGGGGACCCGCTGGCGGGGGCAGCGCCCGGCCCTGCGCGGAGCCCGGGCCCTGGGGCGGCTCCGAGCGGCGGCTGCTGCGCGGTTCTGTGTGTCTGTGCTACATGTGTATGTGTATCTGTGTGTGTGCGCGGAGGGGTGTGTGTTCTTCCTTTGAAGCCACCGTCTGCGAAATCCTGCGCTCGAGGAGCGGGCGGAGGGGGTGGGGAGAGGAACCGCGATGTGCGCTGTGATGTTTCGTTGATCTATATTTAATGGCTGAAAGGAGAGATGCTTTTCTTTCCTTTACCCTTACCTTACTCTTATTCTGGTATGTAATGTACTTGCATTGATCGGCCAAAGCGTAGTTTCAGCTGAATCAAGTCACCACAGAGGAAGGAGGTGCAGTGTCACAGGCGGTACATGTAATACTCAAATTCATCTGGCCAGGGATCTTGGAGAAAAATGAGAAAAACCCTGAAGAGGGATAATTTTAGAAACCATGTTAAATATACCCTGGAGGGATTGGAAGCACGAATACATGGGAGAGTGTAATACAGTATCTCGTGCAGATACATTTTCTTATACTTTGTTAGAGTGTGCTTTGTTTGGATTCAGGGTGTCATGGTTAACCCCATGCATTACAGGAAAAAATATCCAAAACTTGATGAAATATTTAGAAATGAAGAGGTCCCTTTATTGAACAGCCAGTTCTTAACTTCTTTGGCTGTAGTAATTCATATTTGTGCCCCTTAAAATATGTATGCCTTTTTATTGGCAATAACAACCAAAGTAAAAACTTCACATTGCAGGTTTGTTTTCTAAGTCTATATAGGTAGCCTGTATGTAAAGTGAAAACAGTGAGTCAGCCTGAGCTGTGGTTCACAACAAACCTCTCCATAAGGTACGTCAAGGCTTACGTACCTCAAGATAGAGAGAGGACAACCCAGAAATATAGGGAGTTTACGTAAGTCTGTTGTGGCTTTTCCAAAATCAAGACAGGAAAAAAAATCTTTGTCATCCTGTATTTAAGGATATATTCATCCTGTCTTAAAAAATAAACTGATTATATAACTCATAGGCTGGGTTGATAATTTTCAGACAGCCTGCTTAGTTGGTCAGTGTATAAATGACATGGCATGAAGGGGTTAAGGGCAGGTCTCTGGAAAAAGCTGCTGCATATCCTACTAGTGGGCCTCTGAGAGTCAAGTGGCTTTTTTATGAGCCTATTTGCCTTTACACAGGTTATCTGGGGAGGAGCCCCAACCTTAAATCCAAACCACCTAGGAAGGCTGTGATATTTAAGCAAAACATTATGCGATGTTCAGATACCCTCGTAATACTGTTTCTGAGCCAAGTTGGTGAAGCTGCCTTTCTTCAATCTGTGAATGACTTGACCCTTTGGGAGCCTTGACTGACTATCAGTCTCTGTCCTGCAAAACTGCGGAGAACTTGTGATTGATCATCGACGTTAATGAGAAGTAGATTAATAGCTCAGGACTAGGTTGAATGTGATTATGTTAAATGTTGTAGTTCCGAAACAGGAGATAGCATCTTGATCACGTTGCTCAGAGATGGTTTTTGCAGTCTGTTACATAAGAGAGGCTTGGGAAAAAAAGGGAGTTGCGGACTGTGCTGTGTATACGTACCAAAGGAAATACCCCTCACACCTGCTGGTAGGAAGCAAAGTATTTATTTCTGAATATCAGTTGTATGACTTTTTGTGGATTGCAAGAAAGATAGTTTTGGGAGAGAACTCCAGCTATAGTAGTGCTCAAGTTCTGGTTGTCAGGTACCTTAATAGATGTTAAAAGCAATAAATAGCTCATTGGTGACACAAGTTTGTGACTTTTGCTGTGGGTTTTTTTGGATAAGGATACTAAAAAAAATTCATCCTCACATAATGAACTCTGACAGGCAGCTGCACAAAATAGAAATAGTAGCAACTAAAAAAACAAGATGTTTGCATAATTTTGATTTGCATAATTTACCTTTGCTGATGGATGGTATCAATTTAATGGCTGTGGTTCAATGTTGTTTCTCAAGACACGTGTAAAATCAACTTATGCTACAAAGGAAGTGCCAATGCAGTTTATTTTAAGGGTTTTAAGAAATGCATTTTTAGGTAGGGCTGTAAATTGGCATGTAAATGGAGCAGCTAACAGAATCAGCAGAACTCATGAGTGTTAAATTTTGCACTAAATTTCCGATACACTCTCTATTTCATGGTTCAGTGTGATATGATTTTAGAGCTGATCACTTATGGAAATACCAGCCTATCTTTGTTAGGATTTCAAGCATATGTTTCTGTCCTAGAAGTAACTGTTTTCAGAAGTATCAGCAAGAAAAGGAAAATGCATTATTACAGTACTCTTCACTTAAATAAGGACCTGTGCTTTTGATGCTTATTGATTGTGCTTGTAAGTCATGAAGAGTTTGAGATTTGAAGCTGAGGTTTAACAAAAATGAAAATGATTGTATTTCCCTTTGAAGGTCTCAGTAAGATCTTGTTACAGGATGAATTGTGGATGCTTATTTAACTGTGCAGTATTAAATTTAGTAGTATAGTTATTAATAACATACGAGCAAGCAATAAACTTTAATGGAGGCAGCATTTTTAAATACAGTGAATTTATTTTTTAAGTGTCAGAATGACTCTCAAATAGGACTAAACCACATTTGCTCTTAAGGAATTGTTTTTGTCATGACAAAAGACATTACACTATGGAATGCATTATTTTTCTGACCTTTGTTTTTTATGGGTGCATGATGGGAAAAGTAATTTCTTTCATGTGAATAAGAAGTCTCCATGCAGTACAGGAGTGCAATCCTCTGCTCATGCACTGCAGAACCACATGACCCTTTGGCTAATGGCTCCTTTGTAGTTAGGCTCACTTGGAAAGAAGTCTGAATGCAGCATGACACACTGAAACAATTTGTTCTATCCCCTTGGGATGGGCTAACTTTGTGTCACAAATGGGTTGTAAAAGCAGATTGCCTGACCAGATTCTCTGGCACTATGCTGGACAAAATTTAAGTTCAATAATATTGAAAAGGAAATATGGTATCTGTTTTTATGTAAACCAATTACCATGTGAATAGATATTATTTTTTTTCTTGTATTAACTGCCAGTTCAGTGTAAAACTGAGAAACATAGAAACATCTCATTATCTATGAGAGCAAGTTTAATATTTGTTTAAATTACTCTTGGCATGTTAACTTCTAGTGCATCCTACTGCCTCTTAATCTGCCTATTCTACTTTACAAAATTCAGTTATACTAATAAGCAATAACTTCAAGACACATCAGCATGGAGGAGTATGTATTATCTTGTCTTTTTGGTCACTGCGTATTTTACTGCAGTTTCGAAAAAAAACAAAGCCTCAAACAGGCTTGTAATGAAATTCTAAAACTTCGTGCTTCCCAAAGCTGCCAAGGGGTGATAACTTTATAAAATTCGTATATAAAATAACCATGTTTGATGTTGCATTTTATTGTGGTTTATTGCATTAGTCGTAATAATTCTACTATATAACAAACCATTATTTTCTGATTGTTTTAATTCATTTTAAGAAGCCACAAATATGGAGATCTTGAATAGTAACATCCAAAATCAAGAACATCTGAGACCCAGAGGGGCTTTACATTCTCTAGGGGAAGAACTCGCCTTTTTCCCTCCTATTTTTCCTACATTTTCTTCTCCCACTCCTTTTTTTATTTTGTTTTTGCCAACTTTGCAATTGATTTCTTTATCTCCCAAAAATATTCACAGTACAGTAATTTCCTTTTGGTCAAGAAAAATATTTTTGGAAACTGACAGTAAAACTTGGATTTGTCTGCTTAGTGTAACATAAAAGTATTCTTTTATAAACCATGGCTAGATTCTTGTGTTCTAACACAGTTGTTTTTCAGCTAAGTAGCACCAAAATATCCCTTTAAGTTTGAATTTTTGAAGGGAACCAAATGAAATAAACAGGTAGTGTAAACAGGTATTCTGATGTGATTCTTAATTGTTTTAAATCCACTGGATAAAACTTAGCTCTTACACACTCATTTATATTAGATTAATTTCTTTCAGATTACTAAGATGTTTGAGAAAATAATTTTAAATAAGATTCAATGTCGTGGTAGAAAATTGCTGTACCTTTTAGCTCCACTAGGATTACTAAGGGTTGTAATCTGCATCCTGTGAAGGTATAATATGCCTTCCATCAGAACCAGCAAGCAGTTTGAGAGGGTGACTGAAAAGGAGCATCTCAGAGGTAACTCAAGGCTTTAGTTTCAGGGTAGTTTCCCACTTCCCAAGAGAGCACTTCTACAGTTTTTGAAGGTGGAAAGCAAGAAAGCATGCACTGAATGTTGAAAACAGAACATGTGAATCTTACAGTCTTTCTTTACAATTTTCCACCAAAATACTGAAATTCATGAATGTGTGTATTTTTGGAACACTAGCTGATCTAGAGATGTTTTTGTTGCTTTTGTTTGTTTGGTTGGTTTTTTTAATATATACATTATTTTAGATTTATGTGAGCAAAGAAACTAACTTTTCTGAAGATGACATACATGAATCAAATCCTGGCATCCTGGTGTTGTCCTAATGTTGTAGTTGGCTGGTGTCCTAGTTACAGGGGCTGGGACCAG